GTACACCGAAAAGATTTTCCCACTGTATATGGGTATCTTTTGGTCGTGGTACATATATAGGAATTAAATAATTGAATAACTTGTGAGCCACTACCTAAATTAAACAAGGTTCACTCGGCACCCGAGGACGGCAAGTACACACACTGAACGGCGGACACGCTGGCTGTGAGATATCGTGGATGTTCTATTCAAAACGCTTGATATTTTTATATTACATGTGAGTGCATATGGGCACATATTAAAGGCTTGTTATATTTTAAGGATAAGGCACTATGTCTGTCTTTTTTTTGTACTGCGGAATATTCTAAGGAGGAGATTAAGCGAGAGATCCCTGCAGTGATAGTGATAGGAGAGGAGAGCGACGTTCCAGCAGCAATTGGGAGATACTCACCACTACTGCTATGATGCAATATATGATCTAAAGTTCCATTTGGTGAACAAAAGCTGGTTGAGCCTTTCAGTAGGCTTTAAATGACGTGAGCACATATTGAGAACACAATTAGAAGTCACTGGGAATTGCGATTTTTCACTATTGGATCTGTCACTTTCATCACTAGAGACTTTTTTTGATCACTTTTTCTTGTTTTATATTACATTATCACAATGGACGTTTATCACTATTTATTATATATAAAGATTACATATATAGGGATGTTTCCCCATTTAATGCAGGCCACCTGACAGACCTGTGTATCTGCCACTGTAAGATTAGGACTTCTGCTTTTGTACAGGAGGCCATACAGAAAGTGGCACGATAATCTGATTACACAGGAGATGTGCTGCTTTTATTATATGTCTGTGAATATGGATCAAATGAAAGGTTGTTGGCACAAACACACTGTGATAATTACAACCACATTTTAGCACAAAGCCCTGTTCACACCCCCTCTTCTGTATTCACAATTTAATATGTGTTGGGTGATCTCATATTATGCATACAAAGCAGCACCACCCAGGACATGCCTGGTCTAATGTTTTATCAGAACAGCTGAATAGAAGGCAAATGTTTCCAACACTCGTATGTTATGATACTAGTCTCCAAATGATATAGATGCCTAAAAATGTAGGGAGGTTGGAGCACTGTTGGCCAGTTGTGTTTTTATATCTTCTCTGGTATGGCCACTTTAAACAACTTTGTTTATAGCTGTTAGTCCACAGGTCATGGGCAATGGAGAACAAGAACACTGTTGGCCGGTTGTGTTGTATCTTCTCTAGTATGGCCACTTTAAACAACTTTGTTTATAGCTGATAGTCCACAGGTCATGGTTCAACAGAGGACAAGGTGTCAACAAAGAGGGGGAGAGACCAGTTCTGTATGAGGGATTGGTATATTCAGATGCAGGAAGATGCTGATTATTGTACTTTGTGTCAAGAATAACAGGAAATGGTCGAACACGTTAAAACTGAAATGTGCATGACTTAATGAAGTCAGAGGAACATCAGCCCCAGGCTATGCACTTATTTTTTTTTTATTTTTTTAGTATTTGTTGCTTCTGGTTGTCCTGTTGAAATCTGATAGTGTGGCCTGCAGAGGTACTTAGCTGTAGAAGACATAAGACGCAGAGAATAGCTGTGACGTCACATGACATTCTAGAGCTGCTTCTCATATTTTCACAATCCTGTTTGGGACTCTAGATATGAGCAGCTTTATAGGTTGAATAAACAAGAATTAAAACATCTTAATGCCAGTTTCAGCCAGAACAGTATTTTTCATTTTGAATAGAGCAGAGAAGAGTTACCTTTTTATTGATCTTTTAGCTGCTATTGCTAGGGAAGTTTTTACCTGGGCTTGGTTCATGGTGGGTTTGGCAAACATTACTGAGGTTTGACTGCCAAATCTGAATTGCATTAAAATCAAATTAATTTCTGTAAAAAAACAAAATGTATTGGCTATCTTCTAGGCTAACAGGCAAGGTATTGCCAAACAAATGGCATCGGAAGCCTGGCACTGATCTAGGGGATATGTACCAATACAAAGGAAAAAGTTTAAAACATTCCCATTTAGCAGGGAAATTTGGTTTTAATTATGTTTGCAGTGAATTATTTCAATTAGTTTTATAGTGAAACCCCCTTCGGCAAAGCACCATGACCAAACATTGATGAGGACAAGGCCATCTTCCCCACAACCCTGGCCTGGTGGATGTGGAAGCCTGCAGGTGGGGGGATTATCAGAATCGGGAAGCCCCCCTTTAATAAGGGAACCCCCAGACACCAGTCCCTATATGGTACCCCTACGCATTCTCAAAAACAAAATGTAAATCAACGCACCTGCATTTTGAAAAGCCCTTGTTTAAAAAACAAGTCACAAAATTTAAATGGTTTTCAAACTATGTGAAAACTTGACAGGTTGTAATCCCTGCGCATTTTTTTCCTGACAGTTTTTTTGGGTTTTTTTTCTGCATCTTTCTCCTTCTGAGGATTTTTCTATCACTTCCTGTCCTTATTACACACTGTCAATGCAACAGGAAGTGAGAACAGATGTCTGTATCAAGGACACAGGCAGCAATAAAAACAGAGGTTCCAAACCTTTTCCAAAACCATAGAAACAATTTTGGCTGAAGATGGGCTTCAAAGTGTAAGTTAAGATAAAGCTTTTGTTTTGATTTTGGATAAAATAGGAATGGGTAAAACCCCAATTGGGTTTTTTCAAAGCCATGCATTTTGTGAACAGAAACACAAATTTACGCAGAAACCTCCATTAGCATTAATACGAAGGACCAATAAAATAAAAAATATACTTTTATGTAGGAGCTGCTAAAAACAGGAACTATTTAGAAAAACATTGGTTGGATGAATGTAAAAAGCCTTTTCTCATCTTTGACAAAGACTAGCCATATTTTTTTCTTAACCCCAAGCTGTCAAGCATGTCTACATATGGGGCCTCCCCTGAAGTGGATCGTCTTCTGTGTGGTCACATATAGTATTTGTGTACCCGTGTTTGTGCTGGGAGAGGGCTGCCCTCGGGCACTGCCCAAGGGCCTGGGGTCAGTGGGGGGCCCCTGGTACCTTTCATAGGCATTTTTGGGTGTGGTTTGAGTGTGGGCGAGGACACGGGCCCCATGATTCCCTATTGTCCAGGGGCCCCATGAGTTGTCAGTCCACCCCTGGCTATAATAGTGATTAGTAACCGTACAGCTTACCTTTGTACTCCCCCCTTTTTTTTTTTTTTTTTCTCTCGAATGGAGGAAAAGATGCATTGTATCTGTCTCTCCTTGCTAGAGGGAAAATGTAAACACAAAGGCTACATGAGAATATTAAAATGAAGATGAAATGGCTAAATCAATGTCAGGGTCACTATGTTTTCAAGTAGGATTTACAAAAGTTTTCTTTGTTTTTTTTTATTTTTCTTTATTTAGTGTCTGTGTGCTTTTAGGTGGGATAAAACAAAATGCGCACAAGTATAGTCTCTACTGGAGGTCCTAATAACAAATAATCTATGTGGTACTATTGTGCTCTTCAGGAGTAGGTTTTTTTTTTTTTTTTTTTTTTTTTTTTTTGGGGGGGGGGGGGGGTTGTTCTTTGGTGGTGTGTTTATGGTAATGGTAAGAAATATACACTTAAACAAATGCCAAAGTTGCAAAACTGGTTTTAGGTCTTAAGATTTGTCTGGATCTTTTGTCATTAAGGGGTTAATACATTACTTTTTCTATAATTGTGTTGGCTCCATCTAGTGACCATAATGCTGCATTTGTTCTGATTGAAATATGTCAGAAAATATGACTAGGGTGTCCAGCTTTAGGCCAATGTCTGCCATACACTCCACTTTTTTTTTTTTTTTTTTTTTTCAACCTATTTTGCTTACAAACAATTGAATGAACCAAGGGATATTCATACAGTATATGGATGGTATGAAGGTAGTTGTGTTGATCTGTTCAATTATTCTTACACCTGAAATCTGGGTGCAGGCAGTCTGCATCCAGGGCTAATCACTCACATGTGATTGCTGCATGAGAGATCACATGCGAGTAGCCATGATTAGCTGCGAGAGCTGGCAGCCTTTCATTACTTTCAGTTTGGCTGCCTCTTCCAGCTAATCGCAGGATTCCCTGCTGGTATTCTCACAACTAATCAGATGCAGGGTACATTTACATTTGTGGATGCACCCTAAAAATGATTGCAGACTGGTAGCCAAGTTAAAGTGGAGGTGAAATGGAGGGAGTGGACATGTCAGACAGTGCTACAATCCCATATCCGTAGAGGAATGATGGCAGCCAGAGCAAGATTTTAGATTACTTTTTAGAGAATACAGAACCAAGTATCATTTTGTGGTGCAAAGTAATTTTGTATGGAGTTTGGTAATAATTGAGCCCCTGCAGCCAGCAACCATACACCCCCCGTCAATAATAAACACCCTCAGCAACAATATACACCCCCCCCCCAATAGAATACCCCCAGGAGTAATGGATCCAACCCAACAATAGACCCTTGACAGCAACAGGCCCTCCCTACAACAAAATACTCTGAGCTACATTAGATCCACCCTGGCAACAAATGACTCCCTGCAACAAAATACCCCCAGCAACAATAGACCCCCATTAGCAGGAGTAGATCTCCCAGCAGCCAACATCTATAGACCCTACATTACCAGTAGATCCCTCAGAAACAGTTGACCCCCCAGCAGCAATAGATCCTCCAGTACAGCTCAGTACCCCTTGCCAGTACAAACATTTAGTACTGGAGGTGCCGAAACTGCGTTCACCCATGTTCCTACTAAGAAAAGGGCCCTGCTTAGATGTATGAATTTGTAGTCTTTACCAAGAAAGAAGGTATGCTTTACATACATTCAGAAATTTGTGCTCATTACTGATCAATACAAATCAAAAGGGCATGCACATTGAAAGGATGCAGGGGATGTCTTGCATATAACTAATCTCTAGCAGGAGAAAATAAGTTGCTTGATTTTCCTAGGTATATGTTATTTGTTCACATATTGTTTTAACAATTATGCTGAATAGCATATTATGAACAGATGCTAAATGACAATATATTTTGCCAGGTATATGTCCTTGGTGGTCAGTGTAAAGACTCCAGAAGAGATCTATGAGCAACAAGAAATTGCAGTACTTTTCTGTGAAACGGTTTCCAGGTCAGTACTTTTTGGCATAAGAGAATTTTAGTTTATGATGTGGTGTTATAATAAACCTTTTCCTAAAATTATCTGAGATCTCCTATATACCACCAATAAATTATATCCCCTAGTGCAGTGGTCAGCAAGCCGCGGCTCGCGAGCCACATGCGGCTCTTTACACATTTTAATGCGGCTCTTCTGTGGGCCGGGCGCCCGCTCCCCTCCTTCCTCACGGGCGGCCGAGGACTCTGCAGCAAGCCCAGCAATGATTGGCCAGTCTCGCTGCCACTCACATCCTGATAGCTAGTGATTGGCTGTCAGGATGTGTGTAGGCGGGGCAGCGTGACGAACGTGAGGGGAGCTAGGCTCCTCTCACAGTCCGCCCTGAAGACCGGAACGGCGCGGGGAACACGGCGAGAGGAACGCGCGGAGCAAAGGTAAGTGAATTGACACAGGAGGGACTTGGCTTACTACTTGCTACTTACTACTACTATATGGGGGATGAATTACTATATGGGGGATGAATTACTATATGGGGGATGAATTACTATAGGGGGGACGTATTACTATATGAGGGATGAATTACTATATGGGGGATGAATTACTATATGGGGGATGAATTACTATATGGGGGATGAATTACTATGAGGGATAAATTACTATATGGGGGATGAATTACTATATGGGGGATGAATTACTATGGGGGATGAATTACTATGGGGGATGAATTACTATGGGGGATGAATTACTATATGGGGGATTAATTACTATGGGGGATGAATTACTATAGGGGGGATGAATTACTATATGGGGGATGAATTACTATAGGGGGGATGAATTACTATAGGGGGGGATGAATTACTATAGGGGGGATGAATTACTATGGGGGATGAATTACTATAAAAACTTATTGAAATTAAAAACAGTGTACCATCCTATGTATTTTCAGTTTTAAAAATGTGGCTCTCAAAATAAATTTCAATCGTGGTTTTGGCGAGATTTGGCTCAGTTGAAAAAAAAAAGGTTGCCCACACTGCCCTAGTGCTTACAATATAAAACAAACTTGTAAAGATCACAACAAAAATAAAGTGTAAATACCTATTACTAACAAGGCTGCAACATAAAGTGTGTTCCAACAGCTTTCTTAAATTAAAGCATAGATACATAGAACTTGGATGTATACAGTATCTGAATGGAAACTCTATACTAGTATAAATGACATCTGTATCATAAACTGAATTTAACAAACATTAGAGAGCCAAGTACAGCACAATGCTTGATGTAAGCTTTTTTCCCCCCAAATGGCATTGCTGTGATTGCTGACAGGAAGGGGAGTGTCTATTGAAAAATCTCTCTATTTGGAATCAGAACTTTTATCTAATGTTCATAACTTCCTAAAGTTATCAGATATTTGTGGTTAGTGGTAATGAAATTCAAGGCGTTAACTTCTTTTTTTGGTAGACATTTCAACAGAGTATAGAGACTTTAGAACAGGTCTCACAATCACAGATTTTTACAGTGCAGAATCATTCCTCTAACCTTTTGTTTCCTGATGTAGAGGATAAAAATCTTTGATTTTTGATATAGGGCTTTGCAGAAAGGCTACTTAACCCAGGAAATGATTGACGACTGTGAGCCAGAACTGATGATTTCTATCCCACGCCTAGCAATTATCAGGTGAGATAACACAGCAGTCAATGCACACTTGTGATCTAAAGCTCAGCTGAATGTTGGAGGTGGGAACTACATACAAAGCTATTCAGTTTGAAAAAGCAAGCGTCTGACGTCCATAGCACGCATTTAGTGTTCCGATGTCATTGAATGCCAATGCCTCCTGCCAATCCTGATTTGGGTGGTGAGGGTCAGCAGCTATATACTCTGTAGAGGAACACTGATGCAATGAAAAAAAATGTTTTTCCCGCAGATCGATGGCTGTATTTAACATGCTGCATGGTTGCTAGGTTTTATGTCTATTTATTTGAATGATGTATGCATTTGTGATCTGCCTGTAACATAGCCTGTTTGCACCTTTTTATAGTGGGCTGCTGATTTTTCCAGACGGACCCTTAAACCTACAGAAGAGACCTGAGGAGATGTGTGAACTTTTCAGTCCCTTTTATGGATTGCTGAAGAAAATCAGGTGAATACAATATCCAAAAAATGGATGCGCAGACATACATACTGTATGCTACAAAATGTATCCAAATTCTATACAAATCCTGTCTATATTCGGGATGATATGCAGCTGCTATTTTTGTCAGTGAAACACATTAAGGAACTCCCACCGGAATATCTTTCAAATTGTTTTGCAATTTACAAAGTTGTTCTGTACTCTCCTATTCCTGGTTTGTGCACCAGTGGGTGCTTATTTGCCAACCGTGATCTAGGAAGCATGAGCCAAACTATGTGTCCCATGCTTCCTTGTGCTCCCATATTGCCTAAGAGGGTGTGGACAATTCACAGGAATAAAGTCATCCTATTGCAAGCATTAACTAATTAACTGTGCCCTACTAAGATAGATGTGCACTGTGTTGGACATAATACACTGCTCAAAAAATCTGAAGGAATACTTTTTAATCAGAGTATAACATCAAGTCCATGAAACTCCTGAGATATTGATCTGGTCAGGTAAGTAGCAGAGGGGGTTGTTAATTTCATTAACACCAAAAGCAGCTGAAACTGATTAACAGGTGCACTAGATAGGCAACAATGAGACGACCCCCAAAACAGGAATGGTTTTACAGGTGGAGGCCACTGCCATTTTTTTTTTCCCTACTCATCTTTTATGACTAATTTTCACTAGTTTTGCATTTGGCTAGGGTCATTGTCACTACTAGTAGCATGAGGCAATACCTGGACCCTACAGAGGTTGCACAGGCAGTCCACCTCCTCCAGGATGGCGCATCAACACGTGCGATTGCCAGAAGGTTTGCTGTGTCTCCCAGCACAGTCTCAAGAGCATGGAGGAGTTTCCAGGAGATGGGAAGTTACTCTAGGAGAGCTGGACAGGGCCGTAGAAGGTCCTTAACCCACTAGCAGGACTGGTATCTGCTCCTTTGTGCAAGGAACAACAGGATGATCACTGCCAGAGCCCTACAAAATGACCTCAAGAGGCCATTGGTGGGAATGTCTCTGACCAAACAATCAGTAACAGTTTTCATGAGGATGGCCTGAGGGCCCAACATCCTATAGTGGGTCCTGTGCTCGCTGCCTGGCACCATAGAGCTTTATTGGCATTTACCATTGAACACCAGAATTGGCAGGTCCACCACTGGCGCCCTGTGCTTTTCACAAATGAGAGCAGGTTCACCCTGGGCATGTGACAGATGTGAAAGGGTCTGAAGAAGCCATGGTGAACATTATGCTGCCAGTAACATCGTTCAGCATTACTGTTTCGATGGTGGGTTAGTGATGGTCTGGGGAGACATATCCATGGAGGGATGCACAGACCAGCTAGACAATGGCACCCTGACTGCCATTAGGTATCCGGATAAAGTCCTTGGACCCATTATCAGACCTTACGCTGGTGCAGTGGGTTCTGGGTTCCTCCTGGTGCATGAGAATGTCTGGCCTCGTGTGGTGAGAGTATGCATGCAGTTCCTCAAGGATTAAGGAATTGATACCATTGAATGGCTCTCATGCTCGCCTGACCTAAATCCAATAGAACGCCTCTGGGATATCATGGTTCAGTTCATCCAAAGCCACCATATTGTACCTCAGACTGTCCAGGAGCTCAGTGATGCCCTGGTCCAGATCTGGGAGGACACCCTCCGTCGTCTCTGTCTCTGTTGTCAGGCATGCATACAAGCATGTGGTGGGCCATAAAAACTATTGAGTGCCATTTTGAGTTGCTGCAATGAAATTTCAGCCAAATGGACTAGCCTGCTGCTTATGTTTTTCACTTTGATTTTCAGTGTGTCTTTGAATTTAGTCCACTGATGGAAATGAAAATGATCAACCTTTTTTTTTTTTTTTTTTTTTTTTTTTTTTTTTTTTTTTTTAGGGCTCCAGCAGCCCACTTCCAAAATGTAATTAGAGGAGAAAGCAACTTCTAAGAGTGGGTCTAAACCCTCCAGCTTGGGGGATTTACTGTTGGGGGTCACATAGCTAATGTCAACAGGCTGGAACCGTACATGAGCAGAGTTACTGATTGCTTGATGATGGCTTTGCAACACCCTCATGGAGTTTTGATACTGCCAAAGCACTACAATTTTCACTGTCCCTACTGAACTGTAACAATCATCTGATGTCTGTTAGAGCTTTGTTTTTGGTAACGCTATCTTCCAGATTGGAGTTGTCTGGATGATGGCACATTCCTCTGAAAATCTGTATGCTGGAAAGTTTTGTCATACCCTATAAAAGGTGGTAACTCAAGACCAAAGCACTTTAACCCAGCATCAGATTATATTTTGTTTTATTTCCTTTTTTTCTAGGGAACTTCTCTGCATACTAACAGAAAACGAGTTACTTTCGCTTGAGAGAGCTCTGTGCTCTGCTTCGTCTGAGGACTCTTCTGTGCACCTGTCATCATGTCTGTCGCCCACTATTGACTCCAGTTCTTTTCAGTTTGATAGCCAGACAGGACAACCAGAGGCAGCCAGTTCTACTGCACAAAGCACCACTGATCTGGAGTCTCCACAAGAGACTGAGTCTGAGTCTCATAACATGGCAATGTGTGATCCCGCCTTGAGTTCTGAGAGTATGTCAATAGGTTTAGAAGCCAATAGTACAAGCCAGGATCATAAACTCCATCATGCAACAAAACCATTAGAGATACTCCGCAATATGCATTTGAGATGCACTTTAAGGTAAATGGGGGGGGGGGGAATGACATGTACTTTTGAACGTTCGGAAACATTATTACGGTACAATCACGTAATCTCTTTAGTCTATCTGTAATATAATGCTAAACACAAGTTCCCTTGTATTGCTGCTCTGACTGGGGGCTTGAAAGACCATGGTATTCTGGGCCTCTGTGTTAGTGCTATTGTTAAATCTGTGGTCATGCAATGACTACAAGTATGTATGTATACTTTTTTTTTTATTTGTAGAGTAGTAAAGATATTAAAAATTGTTGGAAAAGTAGTGGCATTTGAGTGTTTCAGCCAAGGCCCTAGAATCCATTAGGTTCTTCCTGCACAGGTTGAAATCCTTTTGTCTTGTGTAAGTAAAGAATATTAACCCCTTCACGCCTAAGGGTAAAACAAATCTTAACATCTAAGCACAATTTTGCAACTTTGACATGTGTTAGCAAAACCATACATATCACAACTATTTTGTGCATCCAGGTGGATTATACCTTGATCTTTTCACAACAAATTGGGCTTTCATTTGGTGGTAAATGGTTACGGATATCTCCGTGTGTGTGTGTGTGTGTGTGTTTTTTTTTTTTTTTTTTTTTTTTTTTTTTTTATTACCAAAGGAATACTGGCTCAAAATAGTAAAAAAAAAAAAAAACAACCCTATTTTTAAATGTAGCTGTACATTTTTTGCTACCACCATAACCTGCCACCAAAAAACAACCCAAAATAATTTCTCCTGCTCCTGACAATTGCAGCGATACCATGTTTTGTATGTTAGTTGTTTATGCCTGTAGTACTGCCCAGAAACAATGCGCTATTTTTTTTTTTTTCTTAATCCTGCCACTAACTGACACTGATACTAATTTAAAAATGGGGACCCCCCCCCACCCAAAAAAAAAAAAAAAAAAAAAAAAAAAACCTGACCTTGACCCAAGCACTAACCTTGGCACATATCTAGATTAAACCTTGATCTAGGTATTTTGCTTTATTTTTTACACACACTTTTTTTTTTTTTTTGCTCTCTGAAAGGACAGATATATCATTCAGAGAGAGAAAACAAGGGGGGCGGGCTTCAGTGACTGATCACTGTGATAGCCAATCAGAGGCTATCACAGTGATCAGGTGACCCAAAATCGGAAATTACAGGTCCCAGCTCTCAGTTACACCCTGGTCTTTGGTCTTTCTGCTGGGAGAGAACGGCGCAGTCCCAGCACAGACAGGTATGCAAATTAAAGACCCCAAGGAAAAAAGCCCAGTTCTGTGAGGCTGCTAATATGTATGTAGTCGGCGTCAAGGGGTTGAAAATGTTTACTTAAAGCAGAACTTCACTCCCTCTCGATCAACATTGACAGTCCTTAGGCTGCTAATATTGGTAGTAGATAGGAAAGTATATTACATTTACTTGTCTTAAACATTTTAATTTTTTTTTTTTTTTTTTACACATTTCTTCATTTACTTCCTGGTTTTTATGCCTAGGCAAATGTCACACATCCCATGAGTCTTCAGGAGGGAAAGTGGAGCTTTCTTGGCTCAGCACACCCTCCTGCCTGCATTCCTGATCTAAGGGCAGATGGCTTCCAGATTCCAGGAAGCGAATTCATCTGCCCTAACTTCAGATGGCTGGAGCCAGAAATGCTAAAGGGGTGATTTTCAAAGTGATTGATTTATCAGCAAAATAAAGCATGGTAATATGAATGGATGAGGGAGTTTGCTTTGCATACTAAAAATGAATTAAATAGTGTTTTTGGTTTGAGATGCACACATGCAGTGTAGTTCCACTTTAAGCTATGCTATATACTGTGTGCTTATTTGGGGATGTACCTACATTTTTTTAATGCTGAATTTATTCATTATTTTGACTTGTATTTAGAAAACAGAGATTCCAGGATGTGCGGTCCCGGTATCGCAGTGACCGTGACATGTTGCACCGCCTCTTTGTATGCATTGCTGGTAAGTCACTGGACCTCATTTTATGGAATGTCTGGAATAACTGTGTTGCCCCAGAGTACCATTCTGCTTTCAGTTGTCATTGTTGCAGTAAGCAACATCAGGTTCGTATTTAAAGCACTGTTATATGTGGCCATATTTGCCTATATTTTCCCCTTTCACACTGTTATGCGGCATCAGGCTTTACGCATGTGCTTTTTTTTTTTTTTTTTTTTTTTATATATACAATGTGGGGTTTCAAGCTTTGTGCCTTTTGTCATGTTTAAAAATGTGCTTCATGCTTGCCGCGTTTGGGTGCCATCAAAAATTTTTTTTTTGCATGTTTCATCAATGTGTGGAAAATTGCACCATTTTGCATGCATCATTTTGCATGCTATACCAGCCTTTTGCATGCAGATTTGGGATATTGGTTGATTGCAATGCTGTGCTCTACAGGTGTTGCTGACCAGCTACAGACCAATTTTGCAAGTGACTTGCGTGTCATTTTGAAAACTGTGTTTGACGCTGTGAGTTCCAGGCAACAGCAGGACACAGAAAGTAAGTTGTGAGCCGCAATAAATTGTACTGCGCTGTCCTATTGCTAGTTCGTAAAGTGATTCATAAAAGATGTCTGTGGGTGTACATGAATAAAAATATAAAAATGTATCTGTGTGTATGTAAAGATAGTAAAAGGCAGTGGGAGTGAATCCTTTATTTTAATATCCATATAATGACTTATTCTGCTGAAACACTTATGTTAAGAGGCACCCTTAGACCTGGAATAATTGCTCAAACTGGCCATATGACATATTGTTATGCTTTCTTCTATGGGTAGATTTGACCCTGCTGGCCAGTTACTGTTGATAATGCAGCAAACTCTCCTGCTGTTACCACTCTACACCTTTTTAAAATTAAACTTTTAGCATGGAGGTGACCATTTTTTGGAGCACCTATGAGACTGTGTGCCGTGGGTGCAGGTAGGTCATATATACATGTAGGGCATTTTTTCAGCAGGAACATGGGGGAATGCATTTCTGGCGCTTCCAGCACAGAATTTATATTGGCAGGGGGTGCTGGGGGGTCTATTGATGCTGGTTGCTGGAGGGGATATATATTTGCATTGGGATATATTGTTGCTGGTGTGTGTTCTGTTGCTGCTGATTGAGGATCTGTTGTTGCTAGTAGGTCTTCTGTTTCTGGTGGTGGTGGGATCTACTGTTGAGGGAGGGGTTTATTGATGCTGGCTGCTGGGAAATCTATTTTTGTTGCCAGATGTTTGATTTTAAGGGGGATCTATTGTTAAGGACAGGGGTGGACTAACAACTCATGGGGCCCCTGTGTCCTTGCCCACGCTCAAAAAAGCCTATAAAAAGGTACCAGGGGCATTTCATGGGGCCCCATACTGACCCTGGGCCCTCGGGCAGTGCACGAGTGCTTGAATGGTCAGTCCGTCCCTGGTTAAGGAGATCTATTGTTGCTGAGGGGGGGTCCTCTTGTTGGCTGCAGGGGATCTATTTAAATGCTTTTCTTGTTATCATTAACAAATTACTTAGCACTATAAAATTATACTTGATTCTGTATTCTCTAAAAGTGGCAGTATTGGGAGGTGGGTAGGGGGTGAAACCAAGGAACAGTACTTGAAGTTGGGCAGGGGGCGGAGACCAGGGTGACTCAGAAGGATGGAGTTCCTGCACCTATTCTCTGAGAAAAAAAGTCCTGCATACATGTCTGACCATCCCCCAGTTTCTGTATCCGATTTAGTTTTGGTTACCCTAAAAACCATCATGGCTGTTACTGCCAACACACAGAGGTGTTTTATTTATGATGCTTGTAGATTTATCTTGCACAGAAATGTTTTTTTCCTAGGAAGTCTTTGTGACAGCTGTAGAAATGCCTCTTGAGAGAACAGGAGTGGAAAAATGACCTAGATTCCATGTTTGTTTTTGCTAGGAACAGCTGAAGATGCTTCACGTTTGCCAGACTGTTCAGTTTGTCGGAACCTAGAGCAGCAGGCCAGTAGCACTCCTGTGGGTATGTCAGATCTAACGTAGTGGTATATTGATAAGCATATTCAAAGCTACATTTATTGAAATAAAAATCGTTTTTCAAATATTTTCCAGATCTCAGTTTATTGCTGTCTTGTGGCTTAAACGGGCAAAGGGCAAGGAGACCAAACCCATTTCCAAAGCTAGATTAATATTTGTTTCAGACTGCGCTTTTCACTTCACATACCTTTTTTATACTTGTGGCAGTGATCTTTCCGCTTTCCATGATAAACAATTTAGTGTTGGTTTGTACCTACCAGTTTCACTGATCAGTTTAAGGTTTAACCACTTGCCTACCAGGCACTTATACCCCCTTATTTACCAGGCCAATTTTCAGCTTTCAGCGCTGCTGCACTTTGACAATTGCGCAGTCATGCAACATTGTACCCATATGAAATTTTGATCATTTTTTTCTCACAAATAGAGCTTTCTTTTGGTGGTATTTAATCGCCACTGGGCACTTTACTTTTTGCGCTATAAATAAAAAATTGCCAAAAATTAAAAAAAAAAAAAAAAAAAAAGTTTCTTTGTTTCTATTATAAAATTTTTCAAACAGGTAATTTTTCTCCTTCACTGATGTGCGTTGATGAGGCAGCACTGATGGGCACTGATAGGCGGCACTGATAGGCGGCACTGATGGGCACTGATAGGCAGCACTAAAGGGTACTGATAGGCAGTACTAATGAGGTGGCAGGGATAGGCGGCACTAATAGACAGCACTAATGAGGTGTCACGGATAGGCGGCACTAATATGCAGCACTGATAGGCGGCACTGATGATGGGTACTGATAGACGGCACTGATGGCATCACTGCTGGGCACTGACTGGCGGCACTGACTGGCACAACCGCTGGGCACTGACTGGTAGCACTGGTGGGTGGGCACTGGTGGGTGGGCACTGGTGGGTGGGCACTGGTGGGTGGCACTTCTGGGCACAGGTGGGTGGCACTTCTGGGCACAGGTGTGTGTGAAATTGCAGAGTGGCACAGGTGGGTGCACTGCTGGGCACAGGTGGGTGCACTGCTGGGCACAGGTGGGTGCACTGCTGGGCACAGGTGGGCGGAGCTAGTGGGCGGCACTGCTGGGCACCGATCATGAGGGCACTGATCATCAGTGCCCTGATGATCGGTGCCGATCCCCGCTCTGACAACTGCCGGTTCTCGGCAGTACTTTCCTCACAATCTGACAGCGTGAGGAAAGTGCAGCCGAGAACCGGCACTTGCATTTCCCTCTGATCAGCGTGTCATTGGACACTGCTGATCAGGTGGTAAAAGGCCGCTGTGATTGGCCTTTTACCACATCACGTGATCAGCGTGTCCGTAGGACACGGCGATCACTGAGATTGCCGGGTGCGCGCGCCCCCTGGGGTGTGCAGGAGAGCGCGTTCTGGGGGGGACGTCATATGACGTCCACTCAGAACTGGCCGGCCGCAGTGTAGCCATCATTCGGCTATCTGCAGTCGGCAACAAGTTAACCTGTATAATAAGGGATCCTCCTGCGCTCATGGGAATAATTGACAAAATACAGCTGCTGTCACTTAGCTGATACCAATAAGTGCAAAATAAAATTAAAAATTAGTGAAGCGCTTGTATCACATGAATACAATCATGTATCTCCATATAGTGTAATTATAAATCAAAGTGACCACTATATATAATAAATGTGTGTTGACTCCCTCTAGTGAAAAGAAAAAATAGTGTCAACCAAAATAGCTAAATAACACACATTAGGAAACTAAATATATAGTGCATAAATCAAATATAATGAACAGAATATATATATACGTGAAAACAGAATATTGGCCACATACAATGGTGTCTAAATTATACATAAATGATATATGCCATAGGTGAACAAGACAATATCAAAGGTGAAAAAAAAATATTCCATGCATGTGACTGTGCTTTAAGCTGGAACACACACGTGATCTCCACTTCTAAGTGCAAGTACTCTCCTTCAAATGGCAGCAATGCCTGCTCACCTCCCTTCCTCGACCCACACAGGGCCTCAAAGCAGTTACCACCTCAGTGGTGTATTCCTCTGGCAGACTCCTTATTCCTCCTCCTCTCTTATGCAACTCATAAAAAGACAAGAAAGCCTTCCATAGTGTAGTAAATTTAATAGGCAAAGTTAAAAATTACAAAGTTTTCCACTCACATGCTCCTTTCCATAAAAAAGCGTTTTTTCCCAGCCTGTGGGTAGATATGCATGCACCTGGGGGAATCCAATATGGCCACTGTGTCCGGACATACGTCACCAGGAAGTAGACAAACCGACGCGTAGCGTCACGTCACGTGCGTCGTGACTTCATCAGGGTTCAAAACTGATGAAGTCACGACGCACGTGACGCTACGCGTCGGTTTGTCTACTTCCTGGTGACGTATGTCCGGACACAGTGGCCATATTGGATTCCCCCAGGTGCATGCATATCTACCCACAGGCTGGGGAAAACGCTTTTTTATGGAAAGGAGCATGTGAGTGGAAAACTTTGTAATTTTTAACTTTGCCTATTAAATTTACTACACTATGGAAGGCTTTCTTGTCTTTTTATGAGTTGCATAAGAGAGGAGGAGGAATAAGGAGTCTGCCAGAGGAATACACCACTGAGGTGGTAACTGCTTTGAGGCCCTGTGTGGGTCGAGGAAGGGAGGTGAGCAGGCATTGCTGCCATTTGAAGGAGAGTACTTGCACTTAGAAGTGGAGATCACGTGTGTGTTCCAGCTTAAAGCACAGTCACATGCATGGAATATTTTTTTTTCACCTTTGATATTGTCTTGTTCACCTATGGCATATATCATTTATGTATAATTTAGACACCATTGTATGTGGCCAATATTCTGTTTTCACGTATATATATATTCTGTTCATTATATTTGATTTATGCACTATATATTTAGTTTCCTAATGTGTGTTATTTAGCTATTTTGGTTGACACTATTTTTTCTTTTCACTAGAGGGAGTCAACACACATTTATTATATATAGTGGTCACTTTGATTTATAATTACACTATATGGAGATACATGATTGTATTCATGTGATACAAGCGCTTCACTAATTTTTAATTTTAAGTTAACCTGTATGTTATGTAGTTTTTTCATTTTCAAATGATATTAAACCCTCAGCACTTTTTAGTTTAACACATCAAGCACATTCCCCAGTAAACTATTTTGGTGTTTACCGCAGCACTTGCAGTTTACAACTTTCAATGTTGCTGGCCCCTGCTCTCTCAGTACTGCTTCCTTGAACTTCCAGTCTTCACAAAAAAAGTTAACAGTGGACAGTGCAGTCACTAGTGATTCTGTTAGCTGGAAGAAAGGGGTGGGGAGCAGCAGGAAGTGCATCCTAGACCTCAGGGCTGTGTTTTATTTGCTGTACACACTGTAGGTAGACAAAACCTGGGTCCCTACATGCAAGGATGGCTCCATAGGATGCTGCAATAATAGGGAGCCACCTAGAAACAGGAAACCTTGGGCAGCAGTCCTGCAACCAGCTAAAACTGGAATATAGGCAAGGAATAAAAAAACAAAGAAGCTTGGTAAGTGATTTAAATATCTGTGATCACATCATAAATACATGTTAAGACAGCAAATGTTGTACCTATACCACAAGCTCAATGGTGTTAGTAAAGAATCACAGTTTGGTTCCTTTTTTCAGTAGTTCTATTTTGCAGTCACATGACTGCAAAACCTTCTGTATTTCCCTTTTCTAAATAGCGGGGGTCTGTATTCAGAATTGATAGGTACACTCATTCGTCACACACAGTGGAAGTACTCTCCCCACTGTGTATGCCGCTGATGCAGCATACCTTAAGGAGCTTCCATGGGCTGCTATGTTCAACTAAGCAGCACTGGGCAGGGAGCGTGAATACGGGAGATGTAGGATGTCTTGTGTGAGTATGGCATCTTATATCTCAGAAGAAGCCGCAACGGTATGCAAACTGATCACGTTGGCATGAATTTAGTTCCATACTTGGCATAGTCAGAATAACTGGAGAAAGGGAATTGACAGGATCACCAGGTGTTTGGGAGGAATCTAAAAACAAATTGAAATGAACAGGCACTATGTATGTTGCATAACATGTAAACACTTATTTATTTGCAATCACATTTGTTGAAGTAACGTATACTTTAAATCAGCTGCAGAAATTGCCTAAAAACTGAGGATTTCATATCACTTTATGGATTGATCTAATAACCTATTGAAGAAATTACCTAAAGTTTCAGATTCCTAGTGCCCTGCAATTGTAAGTACTGATACAATGGGCTACTTTAAGGCCTCGTTCACACCATGTGCAGAGATGTAAATTTTTCTGCACTCATTCTTCGAGGGCACAAAAAAAATAATTGTTCTATATGTGCCCTGTTCGTTCACACCACAACACATCACATGCAGATTTTTTTTCTGCTCAGGAATCTGCAACGTGCTTACAACTCACTGAAACGCACATGAAAAATGTGAAATCTGCTTTTCCCATCAGTTTTTATGCATTTTTTTTTGCTAAAATTGCCCATCACCTGCACCATTCTCAGAGTGTGTCCAGGAGGATTCATCCTGCTGCTTCCTTGTTCAGTCCCCAAATCTGTACTAACTGCGTGCTTGTTTTATCTTCCTTCTAGTAACTCCAGAATGGGTTCCTGACAGCGCCAGCACTCAATGTATGAGTTGTTATGCACCATTTACACTTTTACGTAGACGGCATCACTGTCGTAGCTGTGGAAAGGTAAAAATTTTCGTGTGTGTATGAGTGTATGTGTATGTGTATATATATATATATATATATATATATATATATATATATATATGTGTGTGTTTTATAAAAAAAAAAATATTATACAGAGTATGTGTTAACTCACTTTGCCTATAAAAAAAAATGGATGCTTTTTCACAGAATGTGGCCACAGGATATTTTAATCTACAGTCTGTATAAATTGCT